CAAATCTTGTAGGGCTGGTGATGAAGTCCATGTTCATTTGGAAAGCATTGGCAGAGATGAAAACGTCAGGCCCCAGTTGAGTATTGAGCTCATGGGTCATTTAATTTGGACCAGCAATGGATTGAAGATATGAGCAGCACGTTGCAACTCTGGTACGCGCTCAACGTTTTTGCTTTTCTCTCTCTCTCTCTCTCTCTCTCTCTTTTTCGATGAAAACTGAAAACATTCATAATCAGAAAAACAAAGAACAAGTCAACAAAATACAAAGAGAGCCAAAATTAATCACCATCAATCCCCTTCTAACAACCAAGGTGATGGATGATAAAAAATATAAAGATTAAAAAAGAGCCCTTAATAAAATGACTTTTCCTAGTAAGGTGGTGAGCAGTGTTAATCACATCCTTATGATCAAAGCTAATACTAACAATCCAAGTCTTATGAATTAAACTAACAGCATGTGAAATGAAATTTTGAAAAGGATGATCAGCATTCACGCCTCTAGTTAAGAGATTTATAGCTTCCAAACAGTCTGAATAAACTTCAATCTTTTTAAACCCTTGATCCCAACATAATTCAAGTCCCGTAATGATACCCATTATTTCAGCCACTGTCGAAGGCAGACTCCCAAGCTTACAACAAAAGCCCAATGTTTCTTGCTTCTCTGTGCTAACTGCGACAGCACACTCCCCAATGGAATTGTCCCCGTTATGAGCACCCTACGAGCCACCAAGTTATAACCTCTGCGTCACTTGTTATATCAGCCCATATTTGGCCTTTCTATCAAGCACCAAAGACCAAAACAAGGCGAGAATAATCAATGTGATTAGATTACCATGAGGATTTCTCTGTACTCTGAAATGACTAATGAGGTAACTCAAGAACTGTGGGATGGTGAATTGGCTAGCCCTTACAGCGAAAGGCGGTGTGAAATAGTTGTTAAAGAAGTAGTTACCACTTAGTGTCATCAGCACAAAGGGCTCTATTCACTATCTTCTCTGCTTGGGCGGCCCCTACCAACTCGCTCAACCGCTGTTGATACTGCTGGAATAGTTCAAATTGCTGGAAAATCCTTATGATGCTGGCCCGTAATTTTTTATATTAATCTAAAACTCATTGCTTAAGAGATTACAAAGAAAGGGAAAGGAAAAGAGGACAGTAGTGTTAATTTTATATCTCAATTCATGTACCAAATAAGATTGAGTAGGGTAATATGTGCGTACCTAAAGAATTCATGACCAGAGACACCTCGATTATCTTAGATATAGACAGACGTACAACTCACTAGACCCTCATAATCTTCAGAGAGTGTAGAGATAATGGAGTAGATGAAGCTATTGTGTGTTTAGTGATTATCGACTGATTGACTTATGAGGGTCCGATCAATAATCACTTTATTAAAATAATTAAACAATTATATTTCATTATTTTTGACTCAATTAGTTAATAGATAGAGAATAAATGACAGCCACTGGATTGTAGGATAGGTCTATACCTATTGGGCTTATATGGTTCACCTGTTATGGTTCATTTGGCGTCCATATATAAATATTTCAACAAGTAGTGCTTACAAATTGGATGCCTGTGTCGTTGAGAATTCCTATCTCGGCCGAAGCGAGGTTCGCTAAGAGTTTTTGGCCGGTAAGCTGAGGGCTTGGGTATGGCAACGTGGGTTCAGAGCCAATCTGGTGATTGACAATGTTAGCGAGGTTGAAGCCATTAGAGAAGCGACCCGTGGGGCGATGGGTGGGATAGTCGATGCCGTAGGTGTTGAATCTGAATATCTCAATTCATACAGACAAGTAAAGTAATGTATGCGTACCTGAAGAATCTATGAGTGCTAGAGAGATCTCGATTACCTCGAGTATAGGCAGGTACACAACTCATAGGTCCCCAGAGCTTTCAGAGAGTTCAGAGATAATGGAGTTAGAAGAAAATGAGTCGTATGTTTGCGGTTACCGACTAATCATCTTATATAGATCAGATCGGTAACCGCCTCATTAAATAATTAAATAATTATATTATCTATTATCTCTGACTCAGTCAGTTAAGAGATCGGAAATAACTAACAGCTACTGAGTTGTGGGTTGGGCCTCTGCCCATTGGGCTCACTTGTGTGGTCCACCTATTACGGTCCACACAAGATCATAAAGACCAATCTATTGGGCTTATTAATTAATGCTAATTCATAAATAATATTCCAACAGTAGGGAGGAGAGTCGGCGTGAGCCGTTGTGACCAGGTAGTCGTTAATGTTGCCGCTATCAATCAGTGAGTCCCCAAACACGAAGAAAGCTCGATCTCCCTCAGCTTTCTCTGTAGCCACTTCACTCAGGGTCAGCACCATAGTCGCCGCCACGATCACTCTGAACTTTGGCATAACCATTGTTGTTTCAAAGGCCAAGTTTTTTCTCTTAGCGCTTGCCACTTTGTGAATCCTAAGAGTGGCTTCTCCTATGCTCTTGCGTAAGGGTGTAAAGTAATCGTGTCATCGTGTTATTTTTGCCACGGTGCCTGAGTACCGTAAACTCGGTTTAAAAGAAGCAAATTCGTTCGTTACTGGATATTTAAGGGAGATGAAAATGGTTAAATAGAGAAAGGAGGGAGTTAAATTTGTGCATAACGACGAAGAGAAATGTGTACATTAACGTGTTTGGTGCCTAGTAGAAAAGAGAGAACATGAATGCGAGAGAAAACGAGGCATTGTCCTAATACTCGGTACTCCACGTTGCACTGTAAGTCGACCATTTATTGAAAGAGTGTCTGTGAAATATTAGAAATTGAGTCAGCATCGGGTCGTTATACCCTTTTCGTTTCAGTGTAATTGAAGGGAAACGTTTGTATTCCATATTCTTTGTTGGAAATTGTCAATTGAGTCGTTTTTATGATATTGAAGATTGACTTCAAAAAGCAGTAGTATGAGTAACTTGGCAGCGAGTGCGCCAAGTTCTTCATGTTTTCTCTGGTTTATTGATTAGGCTGGCATAAAAGAGACCTTTCTGAAGCTGAGACATACACGTGAAACCCATAAATGGCTAGCACCAAGCAAGATCGTTTTAGATCTTCCCTTCTCCCGCTCACCAAAGTGTTCCGTTCAATTCTAGCTAGAAGAAAAAACAATGTCGACACAAAGCGCCCTTGTACCAGACTTAGAATTATTCTAGGTCTAGGTTGGTATGGGATATTCCAATCAAACTGTTCTATATGGTTCTTATCAGCATTCAAAATTCACATGTATTCGCAGACAGATAATTAATTGAAAAGTTACTGATGTTAATGCTGAATATGGCAGCAAGTACTACGTATTGCACAAATCGCTAGAAGGTTCTGTTATCCTGTTATTTCCCCGACTTTGAATTGTAGTGCGTATGCATGCTACGTACGCTAATCTCATTAACCGACCCCTGACCTGGATTCATCGTAATTTTTTTCTATGATTCCAACAATGTGATGCAGAGATTTATAGCATGCATCCTCCTATATATATAGGGAAATAATACTAACTGGCAAATTGTGCCATCCATTTATTTACACTGGGGCAGCTTTGTTCCCAGTGACTTAAAATGTCTTTGACTTCAGATTTGGGATCTTGAAAGAATGGTACTTTACGCACGAAGAGCTCATATAGATGCAGGTCGGGTTACTTCACTTACCCGTGAAGAAATAAGTTCAATAATTTACGTAGATTGATCAGGATTCTTATGTTACATTAATGCATTATTATAACAGTTGTTACTGAAAATGAACCGAAAAGAAGGAAAAGCGTATTTCCTTGTTGGCTTGGAAGAAAAAGAAAGCCCCCTCACGAGAACTCGGCGTGATGGATGGAGCCAACCACCCATCACAGCGTGTCCCAGGAAACTTGTCGGCCATCACTTCTTGCTCTGTTTGTGCTTTTTCCCTTTTTGGGTTGCAAAGCTTGTTCAGTTCAATTTAGCTCTTTTTTTTTTGGGGGGGCCAAACTTTTTAGGTCGAGGAAGTCGTTTATGCAAATTATGCTTGCTTGGGGGGTAGCATTTATTTTTTTAATTTCTAAGTGTTTGCGTCATCGCACCTTTTTTTTTCCTGATGATTTCATTTGACTAATACTCAAGTAATTTCTAATTGTAATAGAATAAAAAACTTTTGGTTCAAAGCATGAAAGATATTTTTCTAAATACAAAAGCAGCTTCACTCAAATACATTGTCATTAATTAGTATAACCCACCAAAAAAATTATTATTAGTAATTATCAATGAAGTATAGCCTAGTGGAATTGACTGATCCCTGGATTAAAATTTAAATTTCCATAAGGAGATATATCTTTATTTAATATTTTATCTATGCTTTGAATATGATTGTCACTGGTACAAAAATACATTTGCGTGGTTAAAAATATTGTTAGCATTTATTATTAATTTACACGCTAACGTGTAATTTTCTTGACTTGTGATCCTAAATACACACACATGTAGCTAGAAAAATGGGATAGACCTACAAAACCAATCCATTTGAATGCTCAAATAGGTTTGGATTTGAAAGAAGATCCCATTTTTTGTATAAGCTGTACTTAATGTCCATGTATATTATAATTGCACTAAATTGGGAGGGCATTTTTTACCTTGCAATTGAAGGGATTTATATTTGGTCTAAAATTCTAATAATAATAATAATAATTATGGAGCAAGTGGTTTCAAGAAATAGTAATAAAAGTTACTGAAGTTGAAATTATTCGAAAGGATTAAAAATTATTAAATTTGAAATCTGGCGAAGAGAACTAGACTAAATTGAAGAGCGCTTAGTTAAACGTTTCAAGAAAGTTGCATTTATTTATTTATTTCGAGCTTGAATCTGCAATTGGGAGGGATGATATTCAGGTTTCTTACCAGCCATGGGAAAAAAGAGTGACTATGTTTGAAATTAACGGAATCAAATAAAAATGCGGAATTGTACTGAAAAAGAATAAAAATGCGGAATTTATTTTTATTTTAGCTAAGTCCGTAATCCTTTGGCTTGGTTTGAGCAGATCTCAAACAATTGATCAGTTTCTCTACGAATTGAGGGTTCTCCCTCGCGTTCCCAAATATGCGCCCGAATTGTTGCCAGACTTGCTTGTCCTTCAGTATCAAATTCCTCAATTTTCTTCAAGCTTTTATTGGAATTTCAATTGTACTCTACTCCGCATGGTTCATCAATAAATGGAACCATCACATTCCCTTACCTCCTCTTCCAGCTCCTTCCCCGTCTTTTTCTCTATCCATTCCTTCGAATTCCAAGCCGTTTTCTGTTTTCTGCTGGGATCAACCCCTTCAATCTCGTCCTCCACGCCGTTTCCAGTTTCGATGACGCACCTGACTTCGATTCCAGTTCTTTCAAGCTTCCCGCTCCCTGGTATTTAATTTTATTTACTCTTTGGTAATCTTTTTCCCCCGTTGGAGTTGTTTGAGTTACTGTAGAAATATCCTCCGCCTTCCGTTTTCCTCTTCATTTAATTTTCGGTTGAGCGAGTTAAATCATGCTGATGTTTTAAATTGCCATTACACTAGGGCTGCGATTACGTTCTGTTCTACCGGATATGATGTTTGCTGGCTTTCCTTCTGTTATTTGGATATGAAAGTAGGAGAGCTATTCTAAAATTTTGTTTTGCCGAGTATATTGCTACAAGTATCGATCAAGAAAATAATAGAAGCTGGAACTCGTTCTTAATTATTGAGAGATTTTGAATATCGTCTTTCATATTTATAGATGGATATGAAAGATGACACGTGTGCAAGAGTTTAACAAACTAACAGACTTGAGTAATGGTCTATTAACGAGAAGTCCAACAGATAACTAATGTGACTAATATTCCCTCTGCTCATCAAAAACAAATCAATCATCATCTAGTACATTGGGCACTACAACTGAACCTTCTGGTGTCTCTACATTAAGTTTGTGCCGACAATAGTTGAACAGTCTGTAGGATTGTGCTTTTGTCAGAATATCAGCAACTTAATCAAACGGAGGAAACATAACCAACTTGGACAGTGCCTGCAGCAACCATTTCACCAATGAAGTGCAAATCAATCTCTACGTGCTTAGTTTTGCTGTGTAAAACGGTATTCGCAGAAAGAGCCACAGTACTAGAGTTATCACATCAAATAGTTGGTGTGTCAACAAGAGAAATATGCATCTCACGAAGGAAAGTTAAGACCCATATAATATCAGCTACTGCATCTGCAACACTGTGATACTCGCAGAACGAGCTGTGACTGGTTGTTTTCGAGAAGTCCAAGTGATAGGTTTGGGACCAAGAAAGTTATAGAAGCCACTAGTAGAATGACGCTCAAGACAACTACCACCCCAATCTGCATCTGCAAATGCCTGAACCTGATAATAAAGTACAGGATTAATGAGTAAACCATGTGAAATAGTGCCACAAAGATATCTGAGTAGCCGTTCAACGCATTCCCATTGTTTGACAGTTGGTTCATGCATATACTGACTAAGTTTTAATAGTGAAGGCTATGTTCGATCGAGTATAACGAACATATTGAAAAGTTTTGAGAATGCTATGAAATAGAGAAGGATCAGAAAATGGACCAGTGTCTCCTGGAGATGATCGAGCATTAGAAGCCATTGGTGTAGCATATGGTGACATAAGAAGAAGATTAGCCTTCTTAGGTAATTTTGTAATATATTTCTTTGAGTGAGTTGTAGACCTTAAGTGGTGTGAGTGAATTCAATGCCAATGAAAAAAGACAATTCACCCAGATCTTTGAGAGAAAACATGAGACTCATTTTGTGAATAAGTTGCCAAACGAGTTCCTCAGAGCTGCTAGTGATTACCAAGTCATCCTTGTAGGCAAGTAGATAGGTTGTATGAGAGCCATTAGTATGAACAAAAAGACAAGAGTCAGCCTTAGAAACTTGAAAACCAAGAGAACACAAAGCATCAGATAATTTTTGAAACTAGGCACGTGGGGCCTGTTTAAGACCATAAATAGCCTTTTTATAATTTGCAGACTAGAGTCAACCCAGTAAGATCATGTTGCTCAAATCCTGAAGGCTGTGTCATATAAACATCTTCTTGTAAATCACCATTGAGAGAGGCATTGTTGAAGTCTACTTGATGAAGCTTCCAATTATTAGTAATAGCATCAGTAAGGACCACTTGAATTGTAACAGCCTTTACAACAGGATTAAAGATGTCCGTGTAATAATTACTTGCTGTTGAACATAACCTTTCGCAACAAGTCTCGCCTTATAGCGAGTAGGGGAACCATTAGCATTTGTTTTAAGTTTGAAGAGACACTTGCAGTGAATAGCTCAATGACCTGTAGGTAAAGTAAGAATCCCAAGTACAAAATTTTAATAAAGCATTGTATTCATCAGTGGCAGCTTGTTTCCAAAGAGGATCAGCAAAGGCCTCTGTAATGGAGGCAGGCACAGTGGGAGTTTCAACAGCCATAAACACCTTGGGGCTTGGGCTTGAATAAATAGACTTTGTCACGAGTGAGATTGGGGTGTGTGGTGGTAGACAAAAGATCTAAGGGAGGTGGATGAATTTGATCAGAAGCAACAGCTAGATGGTTTGAAGAAGTAGGAAAAGGCTTAGGAACAGGTGGTTGATCTGATGGAGAGGAGGTTGATGGATGGTTTGAAGAAGAGGAGAACAATTCGGGTGAGATTCCAATTGTAGGAGAAAGTGATGAATCAGGGGTAGATGAAAGTGTGGAACAACAGAGATAGGTGGAGACAAAGTAGATGCGGTCGAGGGCTTGTTAGTTGAAGTAGAAGAATGAGACTAATGAATAAGAATGGAAACAGGTTTTGGAGACTCAAGAGTAGAGAAGGAAGTGTCTGCACTGTTATTTACAGCCAGTTGACACACATAAACTTGAGAGATGGATGGAAAATGAAGTTCATTAAACTTGACATGCTGCGAAATGAAAATACGATAAGTGGAAATGTCATGACAGCAATGCCACTTGTGTTGAGAATAATAACCCAAGAAATACACTGAGAGGAGCGGTAGTCCAGTTTATGACGATTGTCAGGCTTGATAAGTGGATAGCGTTCACACCCAAAAACTTTTAAAATGGAATAATTAGGCTTAACACCATACAACTTTTCAAATGGAGTCACACCCTTTAAAGCAGAAGAAGGGTGTCTATTGATCAAGAAGATAGCTGTACAAAAAGCATCACTCCAATAAAAAAGAGGCAAGGATGCATTAGCAAGGACTGTAAGACCAATTTCAACTATTGATCGGTGTTGTCTTTCTATCAACCCATTCTGTTCAGAGGTGTATAGACATATGGACCAATATTGGATACCACACGCTGTAACAAATGGCTTGAAACTAAGAAATTCTCCCCATTGTCAGTCTAAATAACTTTAATCTTAGTATTAAACCGATTTTCAACTTGTGCTTTGATTTTTTGTAGACCCTCGAAACTTTTATATGATGTAAAAATCCATGTGAAATGAGTAAATGCATCTACAAAAGCAATATAATAAGCATTGCCACGAGACAAAAGGAGCTGATCCTTATAGGTCCATTATTATTAATTTGAAAGGAAAGTGATACATTGTATTAGATGATGGAAAGGAAGCTTGTGAGCTTTCCTTAATTGACAAACCTTACAAAGTGCAGTCACTTTTGAGTTAGAAAAAGAACTGAAAGATTTCTTAAAGCATCTTTAGTAGTAGTCAAAGTAGAGTGACCCTGTCTATTGTGCCATATAGTTAGAACATCAGAAGAGATGGATGCATGAAAACATTGTGACTTGTCAGCAAGATGTATCATGAGGTTAGGTGGAGCAGATATGGCAGATGCACCTAACTTGTGCATGCGATTGACTTTAATGCCATCCATTACTGTAAATCCTTAACAAAGCAAGCATGAGGATGAAATTCAAAGACAACACCATTTTCTCAAGTAGTTTGCGCTACAAATATTATACTTTTTTTCATCGCAAGAATACACAAAACATGATGCATTGGCAAATGAGATTTAGAAGTAGTCATATGAACATTGCCAATGTGTATGATATTAAGTCTAGTGCCATTGCCAATGAAAACCTTACTAGAACTAGGAAAAGCATCTTGCAGACATGTAGAAGAATTAGTAATATGTTGAGTTGCTCTTGAGTTTGGATACCATGCATCATTAATGATTACTTTAGGAGTAGCCATGAAGGCTTGAGCAACCTGTGTAGAATCAGTTGAAGTTGAAGAAGGTTGAGGTACATCTGTAGTTGTTATAGGGATCAATTCTTGAGCCACAGGATTAGCAACAACAGCTTGAGCTGTAGAAGAAGACTTATGAGAAGTAAAGGTACCATGAGACCCATCAGTAGCATAGTTAGTGTAATAGGCTATAGGACTTGATCCATAGACATTTGACCACAAAAAATTGTACCTATAATAGCACTGATCAGTAGTATGACTTGTACAATGATAGATTTGACAAGCAACACAATTGAACAGAATGTGTCCATGCTCGCTATCACAATACGAACAGAGTTGGAGCTCGCAGAGGACCACTACCAAGAGGACCACCGGATCCTTGACCACCAATAGAAGACGAATGAGCTTGAAACACCATTGAGGAATTGTCAGACAGATTCCATGGAACATAGGTGGAACAATTCACATGAATAGCAGACTGTTGAAGAAATGCTTCCTGCCTAGCTTTATAGTCAATTAGCTGAGTAGAGACTGTATCCAGATCAAATAAAGTTGGAGAAGCATTGATAACTGCAATGATTGGCTTAAACTCAATTGTTAGTCCATTCAAAATGTGAGAGATCTGTCAAGATGGAGTTATTGGCTCACCAAGCATTGCCAGATGATCACATGTGGATTTGATTGTAGCAAGGCAATCTTGCATGGACATTTCTCCTTTCTTTCGATTAATAAGCAAGTTTTGATGATACAAAACCTTAGAAGTAGATTTGCTTAAATATAGACGATGAAGTTTTGACTATAACTTTCAAGACCAACAAGTTTTAGGAGAAGAGTTCGACTCACCAATGCTAATAGCCAAGAAGCAAGTGCAGAGTTGAGAGCTTCATTACTATCATATTTTGGATTTTACACATCTCTACCTCTTTCATCACAAACTACATGAGGAGGGACTGGTACAGTGCCTTCGAGGTAACCATGAAGCTTGTGTTGCTTAACCATAAAAACAACTTGCTGTTTCCAGAGTAGATAGTTTGAGCCATTGAGCTTGATTGTGATCTTCTTATTGGTGAAGTGAGGATCTATAGTGGGAAGCATATCGAGAGGACCTCCACCATTGAGTGTAGTTTCAGTGGCCATCATCTTTTTGTTGAATAATCAATCCAAGAAGGAGATCTTTCAATGCCAATGATGAGAGAATTAGGCACTAGGCGATCGAAGCTTTGCCAATGGTAGTGGCTTTGATACCATGCCACAAGTATAGATCAAGGCAGGAACTCTTTCTTTATTATTGAGAGACTTTGAATATCATCTTTCATATTTATATACACATATGAAAGATGACATTTGTACAATAGTTTAACAAACTAACAGACTTGAATAACAGTCTATTAACAAGAAGTCTAACAGATAACTAATGTGAGTAATATATTTCTTTATTACAAATTCACAATCTGAGTTAAATGGAATGACAAAACGTCTATGGTAAAGTTGAAAAATGGGAGTTATGGAAGGGGAAGGCTGATAATGGGGACGTATCAAGGCATTGATGGCATTTGGAATCTGGATAGACAGTCAGTTTTGAATCGTTACGTTCATTCCCTATTATTTTTAAACCCACCACTCAATTACTAATCTACTTTGGCAAGTCTATTTTGTATCATTTACATACTTTTCTCTATTGGCTGCAGGTTCATCTACTCTTTCATGGGAATCGGCATATTCATGTGTTGTATCTCTTTATTGGGTTGCATTGCAGCTGAAGCATTTAATGGTTGCTGCCTGTGCTTTGTATCCCACCCAAAGTGAATACTTGTATTTTCCCATCTCAGCATGTCTGAGAATTTTAGCACCTTTAGTTCTTAAAATGACATTTTAGTGCAGCCTGGGGGTTGGCTCTTTACTTTTAAACTCCAGTGATTCTCCCCTCCTTTAATCACATAAATTTCAGCAATTCTTTTATGATATTTATGTATCCCTCTTTATTCCTTGACCTATTGAAATGCTAGTATAATATACTCATCACAGTGTTCATTCTACTAGAGGCCACTTTGGTGACCTTCATTGCTGTTGACCATCATTGGGAGAAGGTTCACTCTCCCTGTCCTCCCTCTTCCTTCACATGAATATAATTGCATTAGCTTACATCTATGTTCTTTCAAAAATTGAGAATGTGTAAATTTTTGCATTTACAGGACCTTCCATTTGATCCAACCGGTGAACTTCAGAGCCTTAAATCTTTCATTGAAGATAATCTAGATATGTGCAAATGGGTTGGCATTGCTGTGGTTGTAGTTCAGGTATGTTCTGCTTTACTTTGGCATTGGTGTCTAGGAATTTTTTTTTTTTGACCTGTTTACAATAATTGGATATGTTATAGTCCTTTGTCTATTCATACTGACAAGCAGCATATCCTCTCTCTTCTCAACTGAAGAGGGGCTTTTCTAATTAATACCATATAGATTTTGGATTATTAATATTCTTCTAACCTGGAAGTCATTCTGTGCCTTATCGGTATCCTGGATTTCTGGCTGATAAAAAAGGAATCTGCAATGTAGAAAATCATCTTACCTGCTAATTGTATTTTCTGTTTGTGGCACCATCCATATATTGATTCCAGATCCTTTTTAAAGACTTTTATGCGTATAACAGAGTCAAGTATATGGCCAACTTTGTATTTTTAGAGCACTTCTAGATCCCTTAGATAGTTCTCTGACAAGAGGCTTCACTCCATAGCTTTAAGCAATGAATTTGACCTAACAAAAATAGAAAAGCTAGCTTCTGCTGCTGCTGTTGAGAAAGTTACCATTGTGAAATGGGTTTGGGAAGTTGGGAATCAAATTTTGTGTCATCATTAATTTGAGCTATTTGATAGCTACATCTTTTGTTTATAATTTAACATGCTCCATGGGCTATTTCTGCCTGCTTTGATTGTACTTTAGGACTTTGGATGCCCACCAGAGTTCAGATTGGTAATTTTATGTGGTACCCCTTGATGTCATTCGAATAACAAGCAATGTTAGTCATATTAACAATCCATTATTGAATCGTGAATGTCATGTTGATCCTTGACTGTGAGTTTCCTATTGGTCAATGAGCAGTGAATCACTGCTGAATCTTTCCTTAGTATTTCTAGTTTTGTTTTGGTTCCCAGATTAGGTCATGTTAGTTTTAGCTCCCTATATTAGTGAATGCACAAGTTAGTTCTCAAAACTAACAAACTTGTTACAAAATAGACTATTTTAAATAGTCTTGTTGCCATCCTTGAATCACTTGATAAGAGAATCAACGTGCAGTGAATTTGTTATTTTCAATGACTAATTTATGCACTCCCTAACTTTTAAGTACTAAAACTTAACTATTCTAACAGTGTATGGATCAAATTGTATACTTATCTTCTTCCTGTTTCAATTGGATAGGCTTAAAGACTCTCACTGTGCACAATAACATGGGTCTGTCTCTTCTTTAAAGTCAATATTAACTCATTCCCCAGCGTCTTATATGTCTCCGTTGCTACATATTACAAGGATATTGATATGTAAAAATAAAAGTGTCGATAGTTAGTGATATGCAAAAATTATGGGTAGCTAGTGTGCATTAGGACTAATATCCTATAAATACATAGCCATTCACTCACGTAATCAGTTTTTGCATTAGTCAGAAACATATTAAGAATTTTGTGTTCTACCTTCCCCCTCCCTCCCTTTCCTCTTCTACTGTTCTCTCCCTGTTTTTCTGTTTCTCCTTGTTCCTTCTTATTTCTCTTCTCTTCGCTACCTTCATATCAGATATATCGTGAAATTTTGTGCCTATTGGTCAGAAATTTCTGGGGTAATGCTACTATAATCATGCTAATGGAATCAACAATCTGAAGAACAATGTAGCAATTTCCCATCATTATGCATTGCCAGGAATCTAGTAGTTTGTCTGCATGGGGACTTTGTTCCTATTGGCCATAGTGTTAACTATGTAAATAAGCAAGTAGCAACTTCTCAGTATGCGTGTATTAGTTGCTGGATAGACATCCTTTTCCTCTCTTAAGCTTATAGGTCGTTTTCCTTGTCAATCTCAGGCATTATCTCTACTGTTGTCATTAAATTTGCGAGCCACAGTTTCAACTCGGAGAACAGATTTTGATGATGAGGATGAATATGATGTTAGGGGTAGAGGTCGGGACCCCCTACTAAATCATCAATCTGGTCAGTCATCGGGGTTTACCAAGAGTGATATTAGAGGAACGCTTTCCGACTGGAGCTCACGGATGAGAGAGAAGGTATGCTGATCTGAAGTCTGAACAGAAGTTTATTTGATTACCTTTTACAGAATTTATGCTTTTATAATGTTAAAAGCATCAGCACGTGGTTTTTTAAGAGTTTCTCAACAATAAAAGATTTTTTTTTTCCCCAATACAAAAATTTGATTGGTATGCTGGTTAATATTTTGGGAGAATGACAAAGAGGTTCCAAAAGGATTAATTCAAGTTAGATTTCAAGTGCCAAACTTTAAAAATTTTCAATTTAATCTCTCAATTTTGTAATTGTATTGTAATGAATTTACAACTTGTTTTTGAAATTTTAACATGGTTGAAAAATAAAAAATATTTATTTTTTCTTTTAATATTTGGAATACAAGTTGTAAATTTATCACATTATAATTGCAAAATTGAGAGAGTGAGTTGCAGATTTTTGAAATTTAACATTTGGAACCTAACTTAAATTAATTGGTCTTTTTAGGACCTCTCTGTCATTTCCCTAATCTTTTTGTTGTTCATAATGGAATTGGGTTTTAGATTTGCAGTTTACGCAAAATTGTATGGTTTTGTTTGAATGCAAATCCTTTTTCAGTACTCCAATATGTCAGGGTTAGGCATTCAGTCATCTGCAAACATTTTTCAGTCACGGTAAAATTATTTTGAAGTGCTGTTTAAAGTCTTTGCTTATTTCCCCAAATTTTTTTTTTGAAGTGCTGCTGTTTATTGTCTTTGCTTTAGACATCTGTTTTTTAACCTACAATTTTCATGATGAGAACAAATTGGGAATGAAAATGGTTTGCATAGGTTTCTAAAATCGTCCTTTTTATATTTAACTGTATGGTAGACATGGTAAGCCAATTCTTGCAAGATCCAAGGAATTCTGCATTTCAAGCTTTGGGTCTTGGGATAAACCATTCTATAACCCGAGACTTGTTATTTCCATGTTTGTCAATACTCAATCATCTTATTTAAAAAATAAGCTGACGAATCCGCTTATAATATTAGTGTACTGTCACTTAGGTAAGTTAGGCACCATTGTTTGATATTTGCAGTATAAATTGAACTCGGGTGATAAGTACAATTTACCAATTCAGAACACTCCAACAAGCCAGAATTCCAGGCAGTGAAGGCTACAGGTCAACAAGCAGTTATTCTATATTTTGACCTCTGAGTGTATATGTAATATAATATGTTTATCTCATCTATTTTGTTTTCCTCTCTGTTTCATTCATTTTTCTGATTTTTATTTTTTTAATTCCTTTCGGGCATGGTACATGGCATTCGGTCTTCTTGACTCCAGCGACTTAGCATGTCTTGTCTCCTAAACTTGTAAAACATTTCTAGTTTTTGTGACAAGAAAGAAAAGGGTGGTGCCAGTTAATAGATGGTGGTTAGGATGTGAATGTTGCATGAGGTTTGAAGCTGCACGGTTAGTAGTTTGTGAATAATGTATCCTTATATGGATTTCACGGTTGATGGTTTGTGAATAATGTGTCCTTGTATGGATTTCATTGCACACACACATAAGTTATTTTGTGCATGGCATGACATTTTAGTATGATCTACTATTTATGATTTGTCACTGATGTGATTTGTTATGAATTGTATTTTCCGTATATTGATTTATTACACATTTTTGTAGGCATCGTAGAGTCTACGAAGTAAATCATATTTAGTAGTTTATTAGTTTTGTGTATATATATTGTTTATCCTAATATTGGTATTGTTACATTAACATATTAAGTTGATTTGCAATCATGCAATGAATTCAACATATGTTATTATTTAAATTCGTACATCTAAACAAGGGCTTTGATAGGGTCCATCGTAACTTAAAAAAAAAAAAAACAAAAAACTTAAAGAGTCTTAGACTTTAAGTTTTAAATCATGTAAGCCAGTTTATAAGTAATGGGTCATATGATTCTCTTCTTTGATTTTGTACAAAACAAACATATTTTTGAATGTTTCGTAATGAATTTGGGTCTTTCCACATTTATTTAACTCTCCACAAGCAAGAAAGAACGTTTAATAGAGAGGGGAAAAAAATGAGGAGAAGCAAGAGCCATATCTGTAATTTGATTGATAGAAGTAATAGGAGTTTCCTGTGGGGCTGCTGGGATAATCGCTGAAAAGTTCCACTTGGGGATTACATGGAATATCTCGAATGTTTGTGGAGGACTTGTGTGAACTATTGATAATGGGGACAATGGGGACAGTCTTCGGGTGTGCTTACACGGTTTGAAACTGGCATGGGATCTGGAATCTTGATTCAACGAAAGCTCTCGAGTGCTTATAAATGGAATGCAATTCACGACACGCTGACTTTGGTATCGTCACCGAAGTGCAGCGAGAGTGTTCTGTCAAAATCTTTTACTAGTTTGTCTCATGTCTAGCAATTGGAACAAAGCCACTGGCACTAGCAGTTTAGGCTAGATGCCCCTCGTTTCGTTTTGCATAAAAAAAGGTGGTAAGACGGTCAAACTCATTTGCACTTTGAATCCATGGGCTGCTTCTAAACAATTGAATTTCTCTGGGGTTATTGAGTTTTTACCTTTTGGCCCAAAACATTTAGGCCCTTTAACAAATATTAGGCCTATACGGTCAAAGCTGCATGGGCTTCCTTGTAAAATTATTTTAGAACAAAAGCTTATATCTTATCTTCCCCCTGTCCCTTTGATGGAGAAATGACAAGTGGCAAAGAAAAATCGCAATACCCGTCAACAAGCATGCTTAGCATAGCAAATTTAGGATCTCAAGGATGGACTGAATTTAATTGATTTTCAACGTTGATTATTATATTTTGTTAGAACAAAGTGCAAGGCAATGTCACGAGATTTGTGGATTCTGTTTCAATTTTCAAGTGGCAGATACCTTACAGTTTTGGCCTCTTGCTAGAAACTTCGGAGTGAAATGTGACATCACCAGAACACCTGCCTTTCAGGAATATTCTTCTTTTTACCCACTTGAGAATTTCCCCTTACGTTTTGGGTATTTTTTAATAAACATGTCAACTTCTGCCACCGCCTGACTCTGCATTCGTCATTTTATTATCTTTTTTTCTACTCCGAAACTAATGTTATATTCTAAAAACATCATACAAGTCCCATCCCGCGAGTGTTTACATTAAAACTATTTTGTTAGATGTTACTTTTTTATTGTTCGATCAAACACGGAGCACAGATGACTATATCCTTGGGTACTAGTGATACTAATTATATTTATACATACATGTATATAGCGGAATTCTGGCCAACGTTAGTGTTGATCTTTTCATATTTTCTGAGAAAAACGAAAGGGAGGAACAGGTCATTAAAGATGTCATGTGAGGAGACAGCGAAAGAAAACAGAGGAGGCAGCACAATAATAGTGTACAACTTTTCAATTGGAGTGAATATAATATTACGTGAGCTGGACCACCAGACACTCCACATGTGTCTTAGGAGAATTTTCAATTTTATGTCAAATTGTGACAGAAAATAAAAATAAAAATAAAAAAAGGAAGGGAAAGAAGACATCTGTAGATTGTTTTATAGGGAGATCAGAGGCTAAAGGAGACAGCTATTGCTATTAGAATCAGCGGAAAAGGTGTGCCAGAATTCAAGTCCAGCCAAATAGAATCAATGTGCTCTCACTATCATTACCTCAGTCCCATCCCATGACCCATCCGCCAATTTCTCATCTTTTTGTTCCTAACGAGTTGCTTCAGATACAGGACTTTTATTTTACACAGTTTTGTGAAATATATTCATTCAAGTATTTGACATGAATGGCCAAAATGACACTGTTGGGTTACCTCCTTTACAGTGTAAGAAACATTCAATCAAGTTGGTTTTCAACCACCAAATGCTTGATTCAATTAATAAGACATATATTAGTTTTTTCGGAAGTCTCAAGTTTAATCCCTAAAAATATAATAGCGTTGGTGGTAATGCTTTGATTTAAAAAGGATCTCATCCCAGCTCGACCATGATGTGGATCCGGATTAGTTTGGATCCCTTGTTAAGTCTTCTCAGTTGGATGAGAAACAAAACCAAAATACTAGATGCTCCAAAAAAAAAAAAAGAAAATAAAAAAGAGTTGGTTTTTAACGGGAACGTCACAAAGCAAGGGAGGGACAGGATTGCGCTCGAGTCTCGAGTGTTGGCCTCCTTGGGGGTCAATAGTCATTGGTAGGGCCATATCATTTCTTAACGTTGTGGGCCCCACAGAAATTGATTAAATTGGACCACACCAACAGTGACTATAATAAATTCTCAGCTTTCAAAACCATTAAGTATTATGATTGATAATTTAGTAATTTACAGATGAGTGTGCTATCCTGTCGGATACGAGCCTGCTTTTAGATTACACACTTGCTGCTTTTGTGGTGTTGCACTCATTAGCTGATAACTTGAGTAAGTTTGTTTTATCTAGATCCAGCTTAAAATATTGCATCCTTAAAAAAAATCATATAATTAAATTTAGCCTTAACCTTTTTTAAACAAATTTAAGTTAGCCTGTCAAATTTGATTTGAATTACTGACTTTACAAATATATAAAATCAATAATTCTAACAGCTGGGTTTAAAATATGCTACCCAAAAAACAAAACTTATATAATTAAATTTGACATTAATTTTTTTTAGGCGAATTTGGGCTGACTTATTGTCGTACCCTAAAATACAACGTGGACGGCGTGAGAGTGGAAAGGAAGGAAAAGCAGAAAAATGGAGATGATGATTTGAGAGGGAAACGTGTAACGGTAAGTGATGGTTGATCCTTTACATAAAGTCAGGTTAAGGATTCGGGAGGACAGGGTTTTTTTTGGGGGGCTGGCTGAATTTCTAAAGAGAAAAAAAGGAGAAACTGAAATCAGGGAGGTGATTTCTAAAAAAAAAAATCGAGAGGACGAGGTCGAGGAATTGGGTTGAAGTTCTGTGAAAAAAAAAGTGAGAGACTGAGAGTTCAAACTAAGAGTGTTGGAGAGAATTTTTGGGGGTTGGGCTGGCTGAATTTTGAAAGAGGAATGAGGCAAGAAGAGTAATTTAATGAAGACAGAGAGGATTTCTGGGGAACAAACGATTAAGGAAGGAAGATTAATTTAAGAGAAGAGGCATGGATTGGAAGGCTAAGGGGAAGAAAAGGCATAAATCGATCGTAGACAGGGAAGAAAGAACATCAAAACATCATCAAGTAAATTAAGATTGTGTTTTTTTTTGCTTCATTTGTTCTGTGATTCCTCTGCTTTCCTGTTGCCGTTTGTTCATAAGATTTCAAATTTTGGAAATCAATCTCAGCAAAGAATAGAAACTGATGGAATGGGAAATTTTTGGGTTTATATGCTCTGATTGGTTTGTTTCATTTTCTGTCCGTGATAGATTTTCCCCCTTGTAATTTAATCATATATGTATTTTCTCTTCATTGCACATTTGGTTGCTAATGAAGAAATTTAGAGAAATAATATGAACATGGTCTTGTTGAAATCATGTTTCGATTTACCACTTTTAAAGCGATGGTCTTATTAGTTCTGAAAATTTTCTTCTCCAGTGGCAGGGGAATATGATTTTCTTGAACCCAATCTGGACTCTATGAACTTGAAAGCCATGAGATTTATACGTGTTTTAGCCTTATAAGGATATGCTTGTTGTAATTGGTCATATGCTGTTCTTGCATCGGGTTGCTGAATGTAAAAGCTTATTATTTTTGTTGTTTTTTTCTTTCTTTTCTTTGGGTTATTTTCATTTCTCTCTTTGTTGGTGAATGGTTGGGATCCTCTTTGTGACCAAGGTCATTGTCACGGTAAAAGAAATGTGTAACCTAAGGGAGAGATTCCAAATCATGACCTTTTATTGTCTCTAAATTTCATGGTTGATAAAATTATAGTTTTTTTTTTTTCCTTGAACATTATGGAAAGGATATTTTGTCTTTTTTTTTAGGTTAACTATCTTATCTTTTCACTATATTTTAACGATCATTTGTTTATTTTAGATTTTTTTGCCATGAAGGACATTAAGTCCCCATGAGTACCTAAGTCTATATTTAATGGGCTGTGAGGGATATTAAATCTTCGCGTGTACCCATATTGATTATATCTTGCATTTGTGTATCAAGAACATCTCACATTTTTTTAAAAAAATGAATAGCGAGAAGGCGAGCTATTCGTGCTATCTTTCAATAAGGGCACTAAGTAAGCATAAACATTTTGATATTGATCAATAAAGTCATGAATGATAATAGATTGTCACAAGTTTTGATTTAAAATCACCTTCAAGAATTTACTATTTTGAAAGTGGTTCATTTTAAATTCATTTTTTTTAGCAATCAAAAATAAATTGAACAGCAATTGAATAATAATTTTTTTTTATAATAAATAATCATTATTTATATCTTTTTGGCAATGATCTTACTCACAAAAAAAAAAGCATGATAATAAATTAAATCATGACATGCAATTAAGTAATGAATAATTATTTATTTATTTTTTTTTACTTTACCTTTTTTTTGCTATGAGTAACGTTTAAGTCACCATATGCATCAAATTCATTCAATTGCCATGAGTGACAATAAGTTTCTATAGGTACGTTGAATTTTTATTGAATAATTTTTCAATATATAACATAAGAA